TTTCTAAACAAGTATTTCTCTTTTGGAAAAGAGAGTCCCCTTCTGCACCTTCAGTTTTCTCCAAATTCTTTTCCCAGTCTTGTCTTTCCCTTTTGCAATCAAACTGCCCATTTTCTAAGTCATAGGTGATACCATCAGACAGATACTTTTCCTCATTATACTCCCTTATATATCAGTATTTCCTTTGCATTACACTTCCTCTCTCCCTTCTGTTTCCACGTTCTGGACTAAGTTATACATTTTGGTCTCCACTATCCTCCTAAACTTCCACTGGCTATTTCCCAACTGTTTTTCACTCTCTGACCTTGTAGGCATATGTTAAACTATCGCTATCTCTTCTCCACAGCCTTCCTGCATCACTGTCTTTGTTGAATTATGCCATATGTATTCCTAAGCCTGATCTCACTCGGTATCTACCCAAAGACCATCTTGGATTTCCCGTCATTATGTCAACATTAAAATCACAGAAATATAGACAGTTATTTAGATGAGACCTCTGGAGATCATCTACTCCCATCTTCTAGAAGCTGTATTCCAGCTAACACCAAACAAAGTAATTTGTGGCTCATGCTAGCCAAGTATTGAAAAGCTCTAAGGATGGAGGTGCTAGAGTTTCTCCAGTGTCATGAATACCAAAAACATGGGGATGATAACTTCCTTCTCTAGCTTCTGGAGATAAGAAAAAAATCCTCTCCAAAGCTGAATATTCATCTTACATGCACATTACTCTTCTGGCCCTGCCAACTCTCCTAAAGACAGTTGCCTTTCTTGCCCTCCCCTGTTATTTTCAGTCTGTGTCTCAGCTAACCTCTTTGTAATGTTTTGTAGCTTCAACCTTCTCTACACAATGATCTTCTTTCGTCAGTCTTTCTTCTTCTTATACATTTAAAATACAATTTCTGAAAGTGAATCTCTTTACACATCTATGTCTTTGCTCTGCATCACTTTACTAATCTATTTCTGGGTTACCTACACCTCACACTTCACCATCTGATGCATCCTACTAAGTCTCAATCCATCTATTTCCTTACTCCAGTGTGTTCATCATTCCCTTTCCCATGCATGTCCAAGGTATGGTATTAGCGCTATGTCACTGTGTGTTTATAAAAAAATCTCTCTTCATGCTTACTCACATTCTACTATAATATCCACTTGGCTCATAATAAATTCATAAAAAAAAAACAAACTCCAAAAAAAAACCCACCAAAAAACACCAAAAACCCCACAGCTTTTTTGTTGTTGTTTTTCTGTGGGTTTTGGTTTTTTGCTTTTTGTTTGTTTGTTTGGTTTTGTCTATGACTATTTTGATTTTGGGCACCAAATGCTGATCACTAGCAGTTGCTGCCAAATGATCCCTCTTCATTGCTTTATTTTTATGCCCTTCAGTTACATTTGCACTGCCTGCATTTTGGAGGTAAATATCCAAAATATTAGCTGAAAGCTTCCTCAGAAAGCAAATCTTTCCCACATCCTTCCCTGCAGTTCCTCTTTAAGAGGTGTCAGCATGGCTGAGAGAATGAAGTGGCTCCACATTGTTTGCCTGAACTATTATGTGTTTAACATTTCCATAACAAAAGTGCCACTCGACTTCTCCCCGATTAATGCAGCTTGAGGGCTCTTGTCCTCCTTTAATAAAACATTGTTGAAATCATTTATTTAGAGCCCCTGGTTACTAGTGGGAGAATGACCATCTTTGTGCCAAAATATAGTGTATACAGTCCACTATTTTGTAGTAGATCATTCTGTTATTTAAGAAATTGATTAAATGGATGTCTTAGAAAGTATTTATGCTAATAGCACACTACTTATGTCATTCAGACAGTCAATGTGAGCCTTTTCAACTGTCTACCACAGCCAGTGCCTCAAGTAAAATACAGTAACTTTCGACTTTACTGCTTGCAAGTCTGTACCACAGAGTTGAAATTTCACAGAAAAGCACTGCTCTTCCCACTTGAAAATGTTTTCTGTTGCAGGACTACCTACTTTTCCTGAAGACTTACAACGGGTGTGTTACCACAGGCAGTGTGGTAGTCTGTGGTTATTAGTGGGGACAGGAATAAAACAGAATGAAGGTCTGAATTTGTTTTAGTGACATTGAAGACACAATGCAGCCCAAGTCATTCAAGCAGTGTTTTCCATGACCCAGGTGGTGACAGTTTTGTGTCCCACTATTCTTATAATTGCACCTTGGCTATTTTGGAGTTCCTCTCACTCTCTTCCGGTGTACTCAAAAGAAAAACAACAAAGCCAATAACATCATCATCAGAAAGAACAAAAAGCAGCTACTGGTTTTGCATTGCACTGAGATGGAATTTTTTGTTCTGCACTTGCAAAGCTGTCTGCAGCCATCTTTTTAGCCCAGCTGTAGGTATGCACTATAGGTGCCTGCATGCAGTGAAGGACTTGGCTCACTAACAGCTCTTTGGAGGAGTGGAGAGCAGATTGTTACTAAAATCCATCATGCTTTCCAATCCAACCATGAAAGACCTGGCCAGACCAGAGTCACTGTGAGGCTTTGTTTCATAACAGTTTTGAAAGTTACATATTCCTCCCTACATACACTGGTGTATATTGTTAAAAATAAACAGAGACCTTATGTTATGTCCATTGTGATTGCATACAAAAGCTTTGCTGTGTGCTTGAGTGATCAGTGAAGCTTGAATCTCCCTCTATTTACTGTATGGTCACTGTCAGTTCAATGAACTGCCTCCTTGTTCTCCACCATTGTCCCACACTCCCTTAAACATTTGTCACTGAAGTGCCTCCAAAGACAAATAAACTGTCACCAAGAATTCAAACCTGGTAACTGGGAATAAAAAGGGAGCAGAACCTGCTGGATTAGTTTACATGAAATGGTGGAGAGTTTCTTCTAGACTTGGAAGAGATTGGCTGGACAGGATCTTGGCAAGGAGCACTTTCAAACATCTAGGCAAATGAGAGAACTTCCTTTCCTGTGGAAAATCTCCCTCTGTCAGGGAACATGAAGGCTTTCCTTGCTTAAAGCTGTCCTTGCTACATCCCTTGACATTTCAAGAATTTCCATTTGTCTCAAAATCAAGCAGAAGGAATATGAATTTGATAGACACCAACATCTGCACAGGGTTTGTTGGCTGGGACACATACCAACACAGGCAAGCTATTCCTCCTAGGAACTGTGCTTACTCTGACAACACGACAAAACCCGGAGAGCTATCTCCATATGGGGAGGAGCTCACAGGACAGAGTTAGTTCAGCTGTATTTATTGTACAATTATTTAAATTAAAACAATCCACTTTCTGTGGAGAAGGAAGCATACAGATGAGTCCTCCCTGCCTAGTGGTGCTCAGCATTGATTTATTCCAGGCAGATGCTCTTGACGGGAGCCTGTAAAATCAAGTCTTCAGTTTATTGTAGCAGACTACTACTCCTAACCAAAGAAAAATAAAGGCTTTTAGCTGAGAATTTTTCATTAACAACTAGTTAAAAAGTCCTTGTGAGTACTAACTGTTGACAAACTGCAAATACGTTTTTGAGCACCTCCTGAAGAACTGGAGAAAATATTTAAGGTCATCCCTACACAGCTGTGAACTCAGCATTCCGTAGAGAAAGCTAACTCTATTACAAGTCTCACCCAACTACTCTATCCTTTTCCTGAAGAAACAGTATTTCCAGCTTTAACAATAAATTACTCAACTGTTCCGATGACTTTAAAAAACGAACTTCAGATTATAGCCATACACCATAGTCATACACTTGTCTGGTATCACAGCTATTTGGGGGTTGGTTTATATGTGTGCATGTGCACGTGTGCAAGTTTACCACTGGGCAACCTAATCAAATTCACACCTTAAAGAAATAATAAAATAATCTGTTGTTGAAATAACCAATCGAGAAGCAGAATTTCTACTTTTGTTGATTTAGAGGACAGATGTGGATCTGAGCTCTGTCAAGATCTGGTAAGATGAAAAAGATACTATCTTGCTAATCTGTTGCCCCCTCAGTCAAAGTTTATTTGTGGTAGCTTTTAAACTTCTGACTCGCCATCCAATTATGGCATTTAAAGTGAAAAGCGTTAAATAAACACCATGAATAGAAGATAAATAAACTTTTTTCTCTCTGCTTTTTTCCTTTTTTTTTTTTTTTTTTTTTTTTTGTGAGTGCCTAGCTTGACGCAGTCCAAACTCAAATCCCCAGAGGACTGAGCTCTCTCTTTTGTGTTAATGTTTAAAAGATTTTCCAATGCTGGAGTTTATTCCTACTGCAAACATTTCTATTTACAAGGTCAAGTGTATCAGCACTCGACACAGCTTAAGAGTGTAATTATTTATCTAAGGGCGTTTGAGTGTAGATCAGTAGCTCTGGCAGCAAACCAGGCTTCACCACGATGCAAAGCAACTCTTAAGAACAGTATTACAAGATCTAGTAATTGCTGATCCCTCCAGTGTGTTTACTTTTGCATTCTTCGTTGTGGGAGAAGGCAGGCTGAATGGCAAACTTCGGTGTGTTTTGTTGCAGCCCCCTTGATTCGCGCACCACTGCCTGCCGCAAAGCCTTACTCGAAACATTTGCTACCTCTGTGTGATGTATTTCTCACCATTTACTTGTTTGCATGCCTAGGAGCATTTCTAAGTGTCAGCAAGAGCAACATGCCTCCACTTCACGAAGAAAGCACGGCACACTAGTAATTCTACATACATACAGGAGCAGTGTCCTTGAATTGCTTTACTCTCTTCTGGCACTCACAAGTTACCATGCCAACGCATTATAAAATCAACCACTCTTTTAAAGTAGTACTTTCAAAGCTGTATTTACTTCTTGCATGTAATTATTCATTAAAGGAAGAATAGCAGTAATTTACATCTATGTAAAGTATGACAGGCAGACAGAGATTTTTGTTTGTTGCCTGGTTTTGGTTTGTTATTCTGTGGTTCGCTTCCCCACCACCACCACCCCCCCCCCCGCCCCCAACCTCGGGTGCTGAGAGTTCAAGCGTCCCTGGAAAACAATTTCACCGCATCCATTATTTAAAGCTCTTTCTTTACTAATTTACACATTTAGAAAATACAAAAAGCCGTACATATTTAAAACACAGGCCTTTTTTATGCCTCCTATAAAAAATACAAGGTTTAAGGCAGCTCAGAAATGCGCTTACACAATTCTACAACGTTCATAAAGTCTCTCCAAATAAGAAAGTTAAATTCCAATCTGTAAAATACACTGTACACTTGATGTTCTAGAGAATACTTCACTGAATCACAAAAGCTGGTATCCCTTTAAACATAAAATGAAATCTGTACCTTTCCAGAAAAGAATAGCAAATGCAATTATCTGGTAAATACGATGTGAATTTAAAACTTTTATTATTTTTCTTAAATAAATTATCCCCAAAAGCATACAATTTATAAAATTGTACATACTAAGAAGAGCAACTGGTAACAAATCCCAGTTTTAAATACATTTCTTATATAAGATTTACCAGCGGTCAGCACCCTGATATGATGAGAGGCAATATAACTTTTCAGGATATTTGTACATACATGTTCTCGAGTTTAAAAGTGTCTTTCAAAGATGGCAGTGCAGAGCTCTTTTAAAACAAAAGTTGCATTGTTCAGTATAGCCAACAGCTCTGAAATAAAACTTTTTTTTTTTTTAGGTTAAAGAGGAAGAGACGGCTGCTGGCACGCTTTTTGTTATAGGGCAGATATGTGTGCAAGAGGGAGTGCTGTAAACCACAGAATTTATTCAGTCTGCTATTTCCTGTAAAAATTGGCAGATGCCGCGTTAAAGCCCCTTTCGGGCACCACAGCATCACCAAGAGCGAGCCCTGGCAAATTATAGTCAAGTTGTTGACTGACCAGTACGGCAACAGCTTTGGCAGCAAGTTTGGGTAGCTCACTTCTAACCTTCATGTCAAAACGCTTACAGAAAACCACCACCACCATGCCGTTACTGGTGGCTGCTCCGGCTGGCGGCAGCGGGGAGCCGGCAGAAGCCTCGCTAGCAGACTCCCCGACAGCCCGCTCCGCTCGCTGCTAACTTGAAGGCAAAGTGGCAGCAATTGCATAGTGCACACTCCAGACCAACACCCGAAACAACAGCAGCCCGTCACCTCCCGCTCCACATCGCCCCGGCTGCCAGCTCGCAAGGCCGCGGCACCTCCCACTGCTGGGGCAGCCGGGGCGGTGGGAGAGTGCGGGCGAGCGTTTCGGGCAGGCACGGCGGCAGAGGGGGAGCCTCCGCTTTCGGAGCGACGCGGGGGGCCAGAGGACAGTGTGTGTGCAGAGAGGGGAGGGCCCGGCCTAACGGTCGGCAGATTAACGGTTAGAGCCTTTAAACTGAGCGGCCCGGAGGACCCCGCCGGCTGTCCCCCTGCCGCGGCGAGGCGGCCAGCGCGGCCCGGCGCCGGAGGGAGGCAGGGAGAGCCGCTAGAGCCGCGGCAGCAGCGGCATCAAGATGGAGGCCAGCAGTAGCCAGACCACTGCCGCAGGCCGGCCGGCGCTATCCGCCTGCACGGGGAAACCGGGCTCAGAGCCCGCATTGTCCTCCGTGTCGTCCCTCCCCTTCTGGCTCGGCTCCTCCTCGTAGTCCTCGTCGTAGTACTCCTCCAGGCCCCCGTCCGAGCCGCCGCTGCTGCCGGCGCCGTTGCCGCCCATGTCCGCGCCGAAGCAGAGGCGGGCCATGTTCTCCTTGACCGACTCACAGATGGGCCGCTCCAGCCCGTCGCAGACGCAGTCGTTGAGCAGCACGGCTTTAGGCACGGCCAGCATGTCCTCGATAACGGCACGGCACTCGGGCGTGCAGCGCAGCCCATTGAACAGCTTCCCGCAGTAGGTCATGTAGCGGTTGAGAGCCAGGCTGCAGCGGCTGTCCCAGTCACAGCGCCGCCGCGCCTCTGTGCAGCCCATGACGCCGGGGCCGGGACCGGGGCCACCGGCAGAAGGGCTGCTGGTGCGGGGCAGGCACGGCTCGATGGCGCGCTTGGTGGCGCGGCAGTTCTCGTCCTGCGCGCAGTCGCAGTCCTCCAGCGCCGGGCCGCGCCGGGTGTGATTGAGCTGGATGAGGGCCGCGATACAATGGCTGGGGCACCGCCGCCTGGAGGAGGCCGAGGCGCCTGCAGCGCCCGCCGGCCCGGCCCCGCCGCCCGCCGGCGGCTGCTGCAGAAGCACTGGGGCGCACGCCTCGGCGTACTGGTTGTAAGCGTAGCTGCACTCGGGCTCCCCCTGACACTGCAGCACCGCCTGCCAGCAGATCAGCCGCCGGCCCTGCACCAGCGAGCCCCGCGGCGGGCACACAGAGCCCAGCGCCGCCGCCAGCCAGAGCCAGGCGGCCGGCCGCGGCCAGCGGCCCCCGCCGCTGCCTCCGTGCTGAGCAGACGAGCGGGCCACCATAGCTGGCGGCGGCGGCTGCCGTAGGCGAGAGGGGCAGAGGCGCTGGTTGGCGACGACGACGACGAGGAGGAGGAGGCGGAGGAGGAGACGGAGCTGCCGCCCGTGGAAAAGTTTGCAAAACTCCCGCCGGCCTTGTGCATGAGGTCTCCTCGCATCAATCCATTAGCGCCGGCTCCGGGGCCCTCCAGTCCCCGGAAGCTGAAACCGGCGGGGCCGCGGTACGAAGCAGGCGGCCGGGGCCGTCCCGTGCTCTTCACCCGCTGCTCCCGGCTCGGCTCAGCGGCGGCGAAGGCGCCCGGAGGAGGTGGGGAAAATCAGTGCAAACTGGGGCTCGGAGGAGAGCGGCTCCGAAGTGCGCTCAAGGACTTACAAGCTGCTCCGGGAGAGCTCATGGTGCTGTCCTGCTCCTCATGCAGTTCCGTTTCTCCTTTTTTTCCTTTTTTTTTTTTTCCTTTTTTTTTGCACAAAATAAATGCCCAGCTGCTGCCGCTGCTGTTGTTGCTGCTGCCTTCTCGGGAGCTTTTAACTCTCCGCTCGCAGCATCTCTGCACATGCCAGCTGCTCCGATCCCATTCACAGTCCCGGCTCCGCTCGCTCCCTCTCGGTACGGGTTGCACTTTCGGGTGGCGGGGAGAAGAAATTTCCCCGCTAGCAAGAAGATAGCACGGGGGAAGGAGAAGAGGCAGCCTTCGGGGTTTCTCTCTGGGCGACTGATGCTGCTGTTGTCAACAAGCTTGCAAGCTGCTCTGCGGATCCGTCTGTGGATCCTTTTTTCTTTGCAAGGCTTTAAATACAAAAGTGCCCTCCGAGCAGCAGCAACGTGCTCTGATTAGGCCTCATTATGCATGCATGGAAAAGCAAACAAACAAAAAAAATTAGCAACGCTTCTTCTTTTACACATCCCCCCCAGCCTGCGTTCTCTCGCTCTCTTTCTCCTTTTCTCCACTTTTTTCTCCCTTCGCTCGGCCCCCTTTCCCTGCCCCGCCATTTGCCATTGGCCCAGCCTGTTGTTGAAACTTCTTTTTTTCCCCTCCTCTCTTTACGATCTGTAGGAGAGAGGGAAGGAGAGAGGGGGGCTGAAGGGCAGCTCACATTCAAAGCTTGAAAGGAAAGGCTTAAGGAGAGTGACAGCCCCCCGAGGAGCCCCTCCTCCCGTTAAGGCGGCGCGGCGGCCGGGCGAGAGGCACGCAGCAGAGGCAGGGACCCGCGCTCCGGGGGTGGCTGCGCGGCGGCGGGGTTCCCCGGGGCATCGTGCGGCGGAGGCAGAAGGGCAGGCGGCGGGGGTCTGAGTGCCGCCTTTGCACAGATGGTGGTTTTAAACTGCCCCTGTTCCTTGCAGCAAGGGGAAAAAAAGATCTCTAGGCTCAGCGATGTCTGTACCCAAACTTCCCACTGATTCAAGTAAGGGCAGAGCTGGTTCCCGAAAGGCAGAGAGGATCAGGCTCAAAAGGGACCGACTTTTTTTTTTTTTTTTTTTTTTTTTAATCTAAACAGACCTGTTTTCAGGGTATTAGTACACTCAGGGAGAGCAAAGCTTTCTCTGCTAGTGGTGTCCTGCGACCGTGTAAGTACCGCTTCTCAGTGCCTCCAGTATTGCAACTTTCTTTGCACTCACCACAAGCCCCACGCTTTTTAATTCATTGAGCTTCTCGCCCGAGGTTTTCTGCACTGGCTTGGGACACTGACATAAGGGGATGCCTGCAAACAGAAATACAGTATAGTTCTTTGATACTTTGTTAATTCTTGCTGACTAGTAAAATGTGGTTTAAATATGTAAAAGGATGAAATGTGTAGTCCTCGCAGATCTCCTGCTTTCCTGTTAAACTCCCTGCTCGCTTTGCTTCGCTTGTAAGGAAGCAGACACAAAAATATAAATATTAAGGCACAACGACAGGAGCATAACAAAGTAAGTGTGTAGTTACCCATTGCCTTTCGTTTCAGTGCTACCTTAATTCCAGAGAAGCATCGTCTCCAACCACAAGGGGCATGGGTATCTGCTGCCTGTCAAAACTGGCGCTTTTTTTCATCCTGAGACTATCAACTCCATCTGTCACAAAAATTAAGACTAAATCTATTTTCCAGAAACCCGGGGATCTTGGGATCCTGTGCAGTGTGGACTGATGTCTGTCTGAAAGTGCGTGGAATGGCCATGTGGTGTGGCTGGGAGTCAGTATGATTGATGTGTTGAGAAGCATTCACAAGGATTTCTCCCATTGTCATCAATTTTACAAGCTGCTAGTGTTTCTCCTTCAGTACAGTTTTGCCTCTTGTGGTGCAAAAATTGTGTTTGCTTGTGTTTTTAAATCCATGAAAACTGCATTCAGAAACCCTGTGTTCATCTACCTCGCTTAGAGCTGTTTCTTTCAGTTCCTGTTTAATGTTATTAAAAATGCTAGATGCAATTCAGGTAGGGTGCAGTAAACACACATTGCCATCTACACCAGGCTCTTTCATGCATTACTTTGCAGCCCTATTCCCTGACAATAACACTGTTACTGGTGGAAGTTGGCTAGTTTGGGATGAGTAAGTTGGAGATCACATTGTAGAGACTGTAGGAAGTGCTGCCACACTGCCTGATTGCTGGGGAAAGCAGTCCACGTTGATGCAGCTGGAGAAAAGGGGCCCTGGAAGCTGGGATGTTCCAGGTGTAGAGAGTCTGAGAGAGGGAACTGCAGGATAGTGCCTTGGCGTGGGACAAGGGCCTTCTGAGATTCCCCAGCGTGGGACAGCAGGAATGGCTGGCTATCTGTCCCAGGGGGGCTGCTTTCTGCGGACAGCTGGGGGATGAGCTCTGCCCCCTCCCAGCTCCTACATTCATCTGCAAAAGCCATCCAGCTCGGCTGTCCTTCGTTATGAAGCAGAAAGCAGGCTGTTTATTTTGTGAGTAATGGCAGCAGCTGCACTTCGGACCTCCCAGGAGGGGGAGTAGAGGAGCCTTGACTGCGGCCTTGCATCCTGGACGCGGACTGGGAGAGGCACCCCTGGTGCTGCCTGAGCAGGAGGAGGATCCGTGCATGGTCCCACTAGTGCTGACAGGCTTCCCTGGCTGCGAAGTGTTGATTTTGCCAGCTGCTTGGAAAGGCAGGGCATGGCATGAAGCATTGCATCATCAGTAGGCAGAGCTTTTCACATACACCTCTCAGTTAAAGAAATAGAAGTAATAATGGAAATGTTGACTTTAAAGTTTTGAATTTGTATTTATCTTTGGCATCGTACAAGTGACAAAAATTTTAACAGAAAACAGCTGCGCTCTTCACTTACCACAACTTTTAGCCGTGCAGCATATGATCATTTACATCCAGAATTATATATTCTTTGCTAATAAGTTAACTTCTTAAAATGGACTAGTATGTCTTTATTTAATGAACATTTGGATTCTGTCTCTATTTTTAATGGCCATTTTGATTAAGGACTTTGGGACTCGTGATGCTCTACTGGAGGAAGGAAATCTTTTGTGGAACTAAACGTAGAGAAGTAACTCCCTGGCCTCTCTTCTATGATAAAAGCTTTCTAACAACAGAAATGGTATTGTCAAATTCAGCTTTTCAGTTTTCAGATTAGTTCTAAAAGTATTGAGGAAAACAACTCTTGTTCTTTTTCATAAAGCACCATATCATCAGAGGTTGTAGTGATAGGACAAGAGGTAGTGGGTTCAAACTTAGATAGGGTAAGTTTAGGTTAGATTAAGGAAGAAGTTCTTTACTGTGTGGGTGGTGAGGCACTGGAATGGGTTGCCCAACAAAGTTGTGAGTGCTCCATCCCTGACAGTGCTCATGGCCAGGGTCGATGGAGTCTTGGGTGACATGGTCTAGTGTGAGGCATCCCTACCCGTGGCAGGGGGGTTGGAACTAGGTGATCTTAAGGTCCTTTCCAACCCTATCAATTCTGTGATTCTATGATTCTATATAGGAAAATATATTCCAAGACTAGATAGTAAAATAAGATCTGATTTCCCACATTTGCTATATTTTCTGTTCTCCGTTCTTTCCTGTATTAGTAATTAATTTAGTTCTTTACATTGGCTCCCCAGGTTATTATAGAGTAGAAGTCTTCCATCACTAGGGGTCATTTTAGCAGCCAGAAAAGCCAGCATGTATATGATCTGGATTTATTGGAAAGACTCAGGGGTATGCTTTTGTTTAATTCCGATATCTTTTTCACCTTTTTATTTCACACCGTTTCCTAATAGATCTCCTTTCTAACTTGTGTTTTCTTTAGTTCTTTGACCTATTTACAGTGAGAGTGTTCAGAAAATCAGAAAATCAGATAGACACAAAACCAGTTGACCTTAAAATTTAACAGTTCATAGTCAGAAGTAATTAAAAATACATGGCCTATACATGTGGTTAATTCCTCTCAAATTATTTCTAAGCACATTTCTTTTATTGGATTATATTGCTTTTTCTACATTTCAAGAGATTTACAGCTGCTATTAAAATTGTCTGGCAGGAGTCCCGTGGATTAATTAGCTGATAAAATTTCAACTTGTGCATCCAATTATATCTTAGTATGTGCCTGATGGAGATACGCAGTGAGAGATCACTTTTTCTTCTTGAAGAAGGAATTGAATTCTTTACTAGTAGAGGACTCCGTCTGTCAGTGAAAGGTAGCTTCCTACCAAACTCTGCCAGTAGTTCTCAGAACCCTGACATTATGGTGCATGGAAGCAGTAGAAGTCCTACTCGTACACCAGTATCCCACAGAAATGGGCCAGTAAGGTGCCACTTACAGTAGCCTGTGCAGATAACTGAATACGGACATGTGCATACTGCTGAGTTCTTGGATTTTATGTACCCTCAGAGACCCATAAATAATAACTTCTGCACTCTAAAGTTACAAAAGAATAACCTTGTGATTTACCAGATTCCCAGCACAAAGTTGGGGGGTGAGGAAGGGGGAATGAGTATAATGCTTTCCCAAGTGGTGTCTGTTTCAATAGAGAAGGGCAAGTGAAGGCATCTAAATTAGGTTCTAGCTCCACATCTGGAGTATTTTATCTTTTTATTGACTGCAGGGCTGTTTGGGAGATTGG